ATGCTGTCTCTGACGTTGTCAACTTCATTCATTAAACTCACAACAAATCAATTCCTTCTCTTCTCAAAGTTCTTTGAACAGCTTGTCACCTCTCTCTTATAATGAGTCCACAAAACTGACTGTTCATTGATTATCAAGCCATGAAACCCATAAGCAGGGGTACATCGTACTTTGATCTTATATTTACGGCAAACACCGAGTGCTGATTAAAAGTCAGCCATCAAGAGAGCCAAGATGTAAACAACTGCAAAGCACGGGCATCAAACACGATATTCCTGAGTCTCGTATGCTTCACCGTGACTACACTGGAACACCCTACATGTTACCGATGATTCTGAGCGCCAGCAATATACAGGAAGCAGATTATCTTGTCTGAGATGGGAAAAATGACCTGATGGATGGGGTGAACGGTGAACCTGCCCAAACAACCGAGATCGGATCTAATCGAACCGTAAACCTAAAACTGTTGTTTTCGGCGTCGAAAAAAATCATGAGTTTGTTTACGCACAAACCTTGCTAAGGTCTATGTTCCCTTCAACCTTCAACCGATCACAAGGGCACCAAGTCGGAAGCGTGGTGATGATGAATGAGGATTAGCTGTAGCGTTCGAAGCATTTGTCTAAGAGCCAGTCAGTCGTTGAAGATCACTTAGCCGTGTCAGCGTTTGCTGTACAGTGTTCGTAAACAAGTTCGAAATGGAGAGTAAACTCGTACGATCGAGCAGCGGCGCGTTTCATCTTCACATGCAAACAGGCCTCTCAATGATTTAAGCGAATAAACGGATGGATCGTCAGCGCAGCAGCCTGCTCTGGGGGCTAATTCGAACTCAGCGCATTGAAAACGTTCAGTCCGGATGGATTTGTACTCGTACCTGAGAAACGGAAACCTAAACAACTTCTGCGTGTACCCTCTAGCTTCCGTCTGACACACGGGAAAGGTACTCCCGGGTACTCGCGCATTTACATACGCACATCGGAAAGATGAAACGCTGGTCGTCCGATCGATCTCGAACTCGAACTCGAACCCACCTTCGTCCGGTTACCGTCACGTTCGAACATAACACATGCTTGAGGGACGGCCCCGGAACAGTGCTCAACGCTGCGCGATGAGCACCAGGACAGAGACGTGATACGAACCGCACTCATGATCAAGGTGGTCGTACGACCAAGAGATGTCAACAGTTCCAGATCTGCCAATATCCCGTTTCACGCTTGTAAGCCGTCGACGACACTTTCGCAGGAGATCCCTGTTACTCAAGCAGATTGTCGTCATCGCGCTTCATCGTCAACTACCAACATCAGTAATCACAGTGTTATCACTGAGATAAAAGTTATCTCGTATGAACTGAAAACGTCATCAATTCGTTATGATCATTTTAAGCGACTGACATCTGTTGCTACTGAATGAACTGTAGCCCGCTCTGCTTTGCCTGAGGTTTACGAAGTAATATTCCGGCCATCGGGTGATCATCGACATGAGAAGCAAACTTTTCCGGAAACTAACAAGCAGAAATGGTCAAATAATTCTTTAGCGATCATACTTGGGCGAATGAAACGGTAACTGCGTGCACTGGAGCTGCAATACCAGAAGATGCTGAAGACATTACGTCACTGGTGGCAAATATGAGGTTTCTGTCAATCCCGTCAATCTCGGCATATTCACGTTTTCACGCGTGACTGCCAAACGTTTAACAGATTCCAAATGCATACAACCAGCTATACAGATCGTATCGCTTAATCCTTCCATCCGGGCTTATCGTCAGAATATACTTCTCATAGGCATATCTACTTCATGGAAACAAATCAGATCCGTGACATTCGTTGAGTATTTCTACTGGTAGCCACCTGCTGTCCAGGACACGACTACTGCAACGGTCAGGAAGAGTATACTGCAGCAAGTTTCTTTATTCCAAGGGCTCTGGCCGTAATCCGCCTTTCTACGTAGATGGGAGGTTCTACTCAGAAAACAGCTTCATTTGTTGCCTTCTTTTAAAACTACAGTATCTGATAGCATCATGGTATGGTAAAATTTGAGCGAAGATAGATCTCTTTTCGCTACGCTAAGTTGATGCGATGATCCATGCGTGTTTCCGTGCTTAAAGAACGTGTTCTTTGTACACAGTCGATCATTTACCTAAAAGCGCAGCGACTATATTTCGTTATTGTCAGGATCAGGATTAGAGCGGTGCCTCGAAACCACATCTCATACTTTTCAAAGTCTGCCCAAACACGTACATTGAGGTCGCCCTGCAGAATGATGGTCTCCGGGGTCGGCGCTTGATACAGATCATTCTTTATTTCCTCTACGAAGGACTCATATTCTCCCTCCGAACTGGATATACAGACCTGTAACAAGGTCAGCGCCTCTGCTTTCTGCTTCTTCAACCGGATGACTGTCAATCTTCAGCTGCTCAGATGCCATGTTTCCATTCAATGACTCTGAGAGCCAGATTGAGTTTTACTAGAATACTAACACCGGTCTGAACGGGGATCGTACAGTCACCAGAGTTACCGCAGAAGTTCGAAATTCCGGGGCCCCGGCGCTTCGTTGACGAAAGTCCAGCTACCTCCGGCAAACACCCATTAATCTCCTCAAAACAGACCTGTTTTTCAATCTGAGTGAAAAGATGTTCCAGTCTCTGCCCGTGATTTTCTACTGCGAGCATCGTTCTCGTGAAACGTTGCCTGACGTGCACTGTGGTATCGCGCTGTGGCCTACTGGGTATACTGGCATC